CGAGTTCTTTAAGTATTTATTCAATATAAATTAATTATATTTTGATAATTTTTTATAATTATTTACAGCTAGAAGAGTAGAATTATCTGTATTTCTTTCAAATTCTTGAGGAGAACTAATATAAGGGGCTTTCTTGTAAGAATAATTTTCATGTTCACTTGTGGTATTTCAGAGAAACAGTCGTTATCGAAAATACTGTTTCACACTAAGACGGATATGCTATTATAAATTTGCTCAATATTGATCATTCTGCTTAATGCGAAGGAGAATATTTGTTTTTGAAAGCTATGATCATTCCACTGGAGGGTTTCATCTCATTCGTTTCTTTCTTCTTACATCAAAATTTAACTTAGGGTAACAAGAATTTTATTCTTTAAACCAGGATCTCCTTTCAATTTTTAAAATATCTTAATGTTTTGCACTAAAGCATAACAGATAAGAAAGTTGAAATTAAATTCTGTATACATAGAGTGTTCCAAAACTCCACGTACAAACTTGAGGGGAAGTAGAGAACATCATTAGGAATCAGAATCACACAGGAAACCATGGATAAGTGGCTTTCTTAGTGAATGCCTTAACTGGCATGTGCGGTTCATCATTAAAGCCGTTGACTATGTGCAATCAACATGCATCATTTCGCCAATGCTGAGTTGGTTGATATGCATTTCGTGTATGGCTTGGCTAAAAAAAATTAAAATTCCATTATACAATAGAATGGGGAAACTCTTCCAACCAGGTGAGTACCAAATCACAAAATTCACTCCTCAACATCTGAACTTAAGTGAACGTGGGTCTTTCCTGATACCGATGCAGGATACTGGGTGGCCACGGTTAAAATGAACACTCATTTCCAAAATTCAAGCTCCTGCTGCTGTGACAGGACCAACGCGAACAACTGTATGGCAAGTCATACATCCTTTTCACCTTCAAGGAATCCACTCACTGTAGCCATTCGTGGCGTGTCTCATTTTCACATTGGTTTCTAAGCAAAAAATGTGACCCTTGCAGTTTCTCTCTTTTCATCTGAAGTGTTTTTTATACAACAATGTGCTCTCAATACTCGCAATGCGTACATGAATCAACATTTCTTCGCTGTTAATGTATGGCTGGATATCGTAACTAACTGTTTAGTCGGTCATTTTTATCGTAGCTAACACATACCGTCCTGAATGAATGGTTATAAGTATTTCACTTTTCTTCAGGTAGTTCTTCCGGAATTGCTTTACACTATTCTCACATATGTAAGTCGCTGATTGTGGTTCCAGCACGATGGGACTCTTGTCTCATTATTCTATATGCATGCGCGATATGTTGAACCAGAGGTTTAGGAATTAGTGAATTGTGCGCCCTGTCTTATGATCCCCTAGATTATCTGATTTATCTCCCCTAGATTGTTTGATTTTGTTTTCTCATTAAGAGCATTTTTTATGAAGCGCCCCTGGATTCTGACATGGCACGAATCGTCATTACTGTTGCTATAATCCAGGAAACCCCAGATATCTGAAAATATCCGATAGTGATACATCGAAATGCCAATGGTAGAAATTTTAACATATTACAGCATGTTTGTACCTTACAGTTTTGCGTGTGTGTCATTTTAAATTCCTTTTGTATACTTATCTTCTTTGAGAATGCTTTCTTTTTAATAATTCTGATTACTATCCATGTCCTCCACCCCAAGTTTATACTTGGAGTTCCTGTATAGAAATTTATTTCTTCAAGGATTTTTTTTAAGTGAGAAAAGCGGGTCTTTTTGGTTGTTGTTAAATTTTGCTTTATTTAGTTTTTAATAAAAGAAAATCGAGTAAAAAAAAAAAAGCAATTGCAAAACCAATAACAAAACAAGAACGTGAAGTTTTCAGATATCAACTACTCACTTACGTTTGCAGAATTTTGAGCTGACACTTGACATTGTTAGATCTATCCTAAATCTCAAACGTATTAAAGCGCAAAAATTTCTATTTTATTACTAATAACTGCATCTGAATTGAATAGCATTTAATTTGGTGGAAAAGATTAAGGTGATTGTAAATTAATTATCACAAATAAAGATTAAAGTAGAACCCCAACGAGTATGCCATTTATGTAATAACCACTTAAAATAGCCTCTTTTGCACTATTACACAAATTCAATTCTTTCAAGCCATCTTCTTTCATGATTCCTCATTTTTTTGTTCCTTTTGTACATCTGTGATCCTTGTGTCCCAGTTATGTATATTAAGAACATCCCACTGACGGGTTTTCTGAGGAGGTCTTTTAGGAGTAAATATCTTGCGTCCAGTATGGGAGAAGAACTTCCACCAGGCAGCCTAACTGTCGTAGCTTATAAGCGTTGCCTAAATGACTATGGAGCTTCCTCGTTTGTGAAAACAGTGACTGTAATTCACATTTTTTAGCAGGGATATTTGTTTTACATTTAGCAATAGGTGAACCAGAATAGTTATTATTCCAGGAACTTCGCTATCGAATCTTTCATTAATGTCACAAAGAACAACAACAACAACAACAAAAAAAAAAAAAAAAATTAAATTAGATTTAAAAAAAAAAAAAAAAAAAAAAAAAAAAAAAACACGGCATATATTATTGAGGTATGGCGCAAAGTGGAAGTTTGCTGACTCTATAAGTAACTCTTGCACCCCATCCAAATAAGTATTTCCAAAATTGTTTCAGCTGTTCAGGTTATTTTAAGGAGAGCATTTGAATTAATCCATAACAAGGAAATTACAAATACATGAACCCACGCCGTCTTCATCATGAGGAACTATATATATACTAAAAAGTAAGACCAATTATTTATTTTTTCAAAAACTCTTTATTTATTCTTCGAAATTTATTTCATCGCCTTCAAAGTAATCCCCTTCGGACACAATACACTTATGACAACTTTTTTTCCAACCCTCAATGCATGCTAAAAAGTCATCGGCAGGGAGGGCCTTCAAAGCGCGTGTGATTCACGTTGAATCTCTTCAGTCGACTCAAAACGGTGTCCGCGGAGTGGTCATGCAGTGATTCTTTTCTTATGGATTTACCGAAAACACGGAATGCGCCAGTGTCATTCATGACACTGGCGCATTCCGTGTTTTCGGTACCCATCGAGATTTGACGCGTTTGAGGCCCAAAATGGAATTGACCGATCCTCTTGAAATTCCAACATCTTGAGCAAGGTCTCTAATTGTAAATCGAAGGTTTGCTAGCACCAAATCTTTAATTTTTTGGATGTGAGCTTCGTCGGTTGAGGTTGAGGGTCGACCAGAGGGCTCTTCGTCTTCAACGCGTTCTCTGCCTTCTGTGAACTGTTTATACCACTTCTTTCCGATATAGAAATTATCACCGAATGCCTTCTGCAACATTCTATACTGCAACCAAAATTGCAAAAAAAAAAAAAAAAAAAAAAAAATCTGCAAACAAAACAAAATTGAAAAACAAACTGCAAACAAAATCGAATGCAAGTTCTTTGTTCAATAATTCAGACATTTCCAAAATTTCCGGAATCAGTTTTAGCATCTCACAAAGCCAAGCGACGAAATTTAAAAACAAACACTAACGAATATTTTGACGTCAAATTTCTCACAGATGTCAAGGACAGTGCCAGCCAGCAACCTAAAAAAAAAGAAAAAAAAAAAAAAATTGAAATTCCATAAACCCCGGGAATTTATCTTACTTTTTGGGCATAGTAGTATATATGTGTGTGTGCGTTTTATACATAAAATATATGCAAGACTACACTTACTATTGCATTATCTCAAGTTGCCAAAACAAAATTTTTTTTTCTATTTTATAATATTTGAAAAAAAATGAATGACACTTGTTATTATCAAAAATTGAATTTATTAGCTATCACTTTTGTAAACTTAGTCCTTGATTTTCCTAAGGAGACTTAGTGGAAATAAAGTTATGAAAAAAATCGCTATTGTATTAAATGAACAATAGGTTTCTATATATAGTTTCTTACGAAATGAATGAACTAATAATTTTAACTTTTAGTTTTAGATCCAATATTAAAAGCTTACTGCATTTGATTCATTATAGAATTGGTGTTTAAATGACTCACTTTAATTTTTTACACATAATAAAACAAAGGGCGAACATAAATGCATGAAATTATTTCAGCACAAAAAAAAAAAAAAAAAAAAAAAAAAAAAAAAAAAGAATTTTCTCATTAAAAAGTAGGTTATCTCCTTTTCAGTGCGTTTTAATTCAACTCTAAAGAAATAACCCTCGAATTCCTTCCTGTAAGGCTCTACAAAGAAAACACCAAAAACAGACCCCTGATGCGCTCTCCTGCGGGGGGGTAAATATATAAAGCAGGTCGAAAACAGCGGGTGAAAATTGTTCCATTTATTTCCTACTGTGCAGGTAATCCAAAACATTCGATGAACTTATTAAACGATTTGTAAGCCAAACGCTCTGTTTGTAACCAAAATTTCTAATGCAACGAAATGAATGACTATTTCTGGAAGTTCATTCATTTTCTACTGCAGAACAATTTACGAGTAAAAAGGTCGTTTCGCAGGAACTCAAACTGCACAAGTCGCTAGACGAGAAGAATTCCGCCCTAACCTTACATCGACCAGTGGCCTACGGCAGCGGCGCTGCTATCGTTCTTATACCTCGCCATTGGAGATTTCGAGGGTTACCACAATTGGCAATATATCACTCATATACTTTTTGTGTTTTTTAATGGTTTTCAAAAACTTTTCCACACTTAAAATGTTGTTGTTGTTGTTTCTTATCCCACTTGGCTAGCCAAGCCCACGAGCCCATATGGACTCATGATTGAAGGGGAAGGAAGCAGCTTCTGTTGTAATGGAGCACCCGTAGGTAGAAGCCTGACTTTTGCTCCGTGACGCTCTTACAGTCATAGAAGACCGGGACCTACGGCTTAAAGTGGATTCCGAACCACTACAAACATCCATGGCACCGCCGGGATTCGAACCCGAAACCTGTGGCACCGAGCGCCAGAGCGCTAGACACTCGGCCATTCAGGTCCCAAATTTGCCAACGGCACGCAGTGTTCCCAGGTGGTCACCCACCCAAGTACTGACCGCGCCCAATGATGCTTGACTTCGGTGATCTAACGAGAACTGCCACTTAAAATAAAAATGTAAATAAATAGAATAGAGAAACAAACTAAATATTAAATTTTTATTGATAGGATTTTAAACTTAAAAAAACTAGTTAGATAAAATAAATGATGCTAAATAATTTCATAACTAAATTGTTCTTTTGAAGAATAATAATTTCATAAATAATAAGAATAATAATTATTTATTATTATTATTATTATTAATTATTATTATTTAATAATTATCAATATAAATATAATAATAAGAATAATAATTTCATAAATAAATTTTCATTGACGGAAACAATAATGTTTGATGACCTAAAAATTAAAAATTAAAAATGAGATAATTTCTTCATAAAAAGAGACTCTAATTTGATAAAAATTGATGAGAAATGTTTTTCGGCGTAAGATAAAAAAAAAAGGAGATTGATAAAAAGAGTCCTTTTTTTTAAATATAATAGAGCATCAAAATGTTTTAAATACTAAACACTTCTTACAGTAAAGTAGCTCAACGTCAAATTACCAGATTTGAAATGAATTCTATTTTGAAGAATAATTTTTTTCGGACACGAAGAAATAATCCTTCTTTATTAAATGAATGAAAAGCGTCTTTCAATGAAACATTATTATTCAAATAGAGTACCGAGATCGCTCCCAGTTTGATCCAGGGGATGCAGCTAGAAATAACATTATTCTAATAATAGGGGAGGAAGAGAATTATTTTCATTGGGAATTGCTCTGAATTTAGGCGAAAAAGGAGAGTGCTCTAGAAATGATGAACACTTATTTAATATTCAGGATTATTTCATTGTATTTATCAAAAGTGAAAAAAGTAAAACACGACTAAATAACGTCCCGATTGGCTGGTTATTATTATTTGGATAATGAATCCACAAGGAAGCGAGATATCCTGAGCTAGCAATATTATAAATTATTACATTCATTCGAGGCCAATCTATTCAATTTAATAGAGTATACCTGGATTTCAACCAGGTAAACTGAAAGTGAGCCAATCAGAATCCTGATCATTTTCCCATAGAAGCTTTTGATTGGCTGACGTTCTTATCTAGTGGGAATCCAGCTTAAGCTCCTCGGGAATTGAATAATTTGAATATTGGCTAGCAATTGTACATCTCTGTGAAATATCATGAGCTGGCAATACTCTAAACTATTCTTCAAATAAATTGAAGACAATTCCACATATACTTATCGCATTTCATCTTTTTGGCATAATATCTCTAAAAAAAATGTCAGTTTAAAATTTCACACCCCAATTCAATGAAAGAAAGGGACGGGGAAAAATCACTTTAAAATATTATCAGTGTCTTGCATAACAAGAAAACGGCTGTAGATGACGTATTATTTGACTTTCTTTCTATGTATAGTTTCGTCTTTGTACTTGTTTGTTTTGTTTTATTTTACAAAAGGAATCACCTAGGGAGGTAATTGACAGCCTATTCAATTTGATAGAGTAAAGCTGGATTCCTACCAGATACTTAGATCGCACGTTGCAGAGCGTCAGCCAATTAGAATCCACTCAGGCTTCTGATTGGCTGTCGTCATTACTGGATCATGGCAGAAGTTTCCGCTTTTTAGCCTTTATGTGCGTTTGATTTTACACGAACAATTTCAAACTACAAAACTATTTAATATTTATATTTTTGCAATGGGTAATACATAGAGTAGAAGGGATTTTTATATATTCAAGCTCATAGTGTGAAATCAAAATGATAGCAAACCTTATCTTATAATTATTAAACAGTTTTAGAAAGGATTCTGCATGATAAAAAAATACTTTTCAGATATTTCCACTTACTATTTTCATTCATCGACGATGGCAATCACAGTATGTGATGCTTTCATAATCAACTGCCTAGTATTTGCGTGTAGTACGGGAGAAAATCATGAAAATGCTTGCCAGTCGAAGCTTTGCCACCCAACCATTGTTTGTTTCATCATTGCTCGTTTTCCATCAAATTATATTCATTAAATATTGAATTCCGTAATAAACTATGCAGATGTAAATGTTTTCCTGTAGGGTTGGTGTGAAAGTTGTATGAATAGGATAAGTGTTTCTAACTTCATTGTAATTAGTGCTTATATGTATATTATAATGAAAAACCTTAATGAATTTATTTGCATTTTGTACAATACTACCTGTAAAATTTATATTTAAAATAAAAAAGTACTTCTAATAATCGCACTGTCCGACTTGTGGCCCAGTAGTAACATGTGCAGGAGGAATCAAGTTTGAATCCGCTGGTAACATCCGTTGCAGTCACTGCTTTGAGATTCGATAGCGATTCTGACAAGTACAACACAGGTCTCTCCATGCAACACGGTATTGTGCTCACTTCATCATTCGCAGGTTTTCCGTATATATAATTGGGATACGAGGCCTACTGATTTACATAAAAAATAATAATAAATATATGGAACGCCTATAAATACGTCGAAAATTTAAAAAAAATTGGTTTACGATACTTTTTTTGTAAAAATCATCCATCAAAATAAGTTCTAGAATGCCCAAATAATTTTGTATTTTAAAAGATTTCAAATTAAAAAATATAATTTAAAAAAAACTCTTTTTAAATCAACACATTCCGATAATCAAAACGCTCTCTGTTGGCGTCTTTCGGTTTTACTATTTGGCGAGCAGCAACTCGATCTGTAAACACAGCAACCCTTCCGAACAGAGGCCTCACAATTTGAATAGTGATTCTATCTAACCAGCGGGCTTCAGAAACGCGTTAATCGACGGGTGTGATTGTTATTTTTCTTGCAAGTGCAAACTCCCGCATGTTAACGTTTTGGGTTGTTTGGAAGATTCAATTTTGTTCAGCTAATATGACGTGAAATTATTTTCGAGGATTATAACATAGTTGACAGATTGTACTTAACGATCAATTTCTTACTCATCTGTACAATAGGATGTATAAATGTTAATATTTTTGAAAAGGTATGTTAGCTTATTTATGCATTTTAAATTTATATTTATTCGAAATTTTTTATGCATTTGTTTTGATTTAAAAAATTTATTAATTGATTATGTGTTTTAGAGTAAAACTACTTTTAATTTTTACTTTTTAGTGTTTTACTTTTTTTTTCTGTTGAATGAATAATTTGCTTGTGTTATAAATTGCTTTGCAATTAAAGAAATTGTTATATGCTATTAGTCGACATATCATTTCAAACGTAAAATTTGATTTTACGAAATGAAATCGTGTATATATACTAAATTTATTTTGATAGCTATATTTATACTTTATCTTTGGAGTATTCTAAGTAAATATTTTTTAGAATTAATTAATCTATAAATTATTGAAAAATATAATTAATATTTTTGCAAATTTTGTTTCCCTCATTGGTGTATTTAAACAAATCGTAATTTAAAAAAAAATTTAAATAATTCTTATTGCGCACCTATAGTCAAAATACAATTTCTTTTAATAAAACCTATATTATCTATTCCTTTAATTACCAACATCAATTTCGAGTTTGGCAAATATAATTTTCGTTTTGATGTTTTTTTTCCACAGAAGTACTTAAAGAAGAGTTGTTTAAAACAAGTATAAAATAAATAGAAGCCGGCAGTTTGAAATCAAAGAAGTACATGTGTTCTTGAACTTTCTTATCGATTTCTGTAGTAATATCATATCATAAACATGGAATATAAGATCTATCTTGACTAATTAGTTTTTTAATTCAAATTTTATTTCTAAAATTGTTGGAAAATATTAATAAATGAAATATTCATTTAAAATATAAAATAACTTTCCTTGTAAAATTTCAAGAGTTTTCTTCACTAGTACTAGCCGTTTTCGTGCATTTGTATTATATACTCGTAAAGATTCCGCCAACAAATGTGCAACTCTCACAACAAAAGAACTTACACAAAATAAAACTTAATTAAATTGATAAGTTTGATTTTGTGTAAAATTATATAAATAAAACTGGAATTAAACAATTAAAATATATATACAATAGTAATACATATATATATATGCATTACTATTATTATTATAAAATTATTGATATTATTGCTAATTCTAATTTGGAAAAATAATTCGAGTTGTTTTTTAATGTTATTATGAGTTATATAGCTATTTATATTTTATGTGACATTGTTAAAAGAAACTTAACTGTTAGTGTATAAAATATGAATTTTAATTTAAAAAATACTTGCTATACAACTAATAGTTGTTAATTTTTACAGTTTATAAATGAAATAATGTTCTGTTTAGAGAATAATACATATTGCTGAAAATGTATTGTTGTGCAACGTTTTAAACAGTTATAATACGTGGGTTGCACTTTAAAAATAAATTTCTTTCATATTATTGCAGTAGTGATTATTGAATTTTGTGATGCTGTAATCATAAAAATAGTTGTTTTCGTTCATGAATTTTTTGCTGTGTTGGGAAATCTTATTGTAGATAATCATCTTGAAAAGAAGGAATGTAAATAAAACAAAGTTTCTTCGAAGAGGGATTCGAGCGCATTTTTTTCAGCTTTTAATATTTAGATTTGCAATATTTCTGCATGACTAATAAATTTTTATTGACTACAAAATGACTTTGCAGTTCTACATTTGATTCTGGAATGTGAAAATTGACATTTTTTGACTAAATATTGAATCTTTTATTCAAAATATATAGAAAGAAAGCATTAATCTTAAATTATATTTTATTTACTATGATTTAAATAAAAATTCTTTTATATTCTATTGTGTACGATATATGGTATTTATAATTTAATCCACATTATAATATAAATTATAATATGCGTGACTGATTTGATTTTTGTGAAAAACTTGATTTGAAAAAAAAAAATATAGGAGCATAAAGCCGAATTTTGTAAAAATGTAAACCCAGATTTCGCAATTTGAAACAAAGCTTTTTCATTTGATTGATCGTAATTTTATTGAAAAAATGTCAGTGAACTCCTTAATTAGTTGATATCTTAGCGTTATTTTCTGGTAGCCTGTAATACATGTATAATCTGGTTCAAAGGTCTTAG